CGGCGGCCGCGCTTGGCGGGAGGGGTCCGCGCGCGCCTGTGTGGTGGCGCGCTGCGCCTCGGCCGAGGCGGCCGTGTCCGTCTCCCGGGCGCGGGTGGGCGATGGCTCTCTCCAGCGGCCCCAGCAGATGTTTGAGGCCCCAGAAGGGGAGGAGAGGACGCTCGGAAACCTCTGCCATTTCTTAAGCGTTCTTGGTGACCCCAAAGTTCGGTTCCCTCCTCCGTGCTCCCACCCGGCTCCAAGGCTGGCCAGGACACAGAAAGGGAGTTCCCCCTTTCCCTGCCTGCGTCTGAAGCGAAAACTCCAGCAACTTCATGGCTGAGTGTGTGAGATGAGGGAAGCAAGGCGGTCTGGGGATACGTGGGCATGTGCCCGCCTGCGTGCCTGTGGGCCTGTGAGTGCGCTGCAGGCACTCCAGAGGTTCTAGACCCTGAAGGAATCCTGTTCTCCAACTCAATCAGTTCCATCTTGGGATTCTGAGATCTCCTTGGGAGAGTCCCCCCAAGCCAAATTCCCAGGACCTGTTCCTGCTCCCTGCCGCCCCCCCCCCCCCGCCCCCGCATGTTCTTCCCTCTGAAGGCTGAGGGGGTGAAGCCAAGGGTGCCCCCCCCCTTGCCGAGGTAGCAGGCTGGAGCCAGACTGAGGTGTTCAAGAATCTGGCCTGAGAGCAAAACCCAGAAACCTGTGGCTAGTGCGGGGCTCGTGTCGACACTTCCTTCCCGACTCCTTTGAGCCAGGAGGAGTAGTTTATAAAATTTTAACATCTGAGTCCAAGAACTACCTTCTCTTGCTGGTACATATCGCCAATTTGGTTTAACGTAAATTGAGAAGAACTTCCTGGGTAACACGATGCTGAGGCAACCACCCACCCACTCCTGATCCCGCTCTCGCCCCAGCCCTGGGCTGCTTCAGCACCAGCACCCGCTCAGCCCCAGCTTGGAGTCTCGGTTCTGCTTAGACCCACCAGCTTGCCTTTTCTTAGTCCTTTCTCCCAAGTTGGTTTTGCATTTTATTTGAATTCCAGATGGCCTTTTAACTGGGGAGAAAAAAAAGGCCACTTAGTCTAAAAATGAAAGGGCTTACTATTTGTTTTACTTTAAAGCACAACAGCTTGGGTCTGTGTCCAGGACTGAATTCTAGGGCTTCAGTGGAAGGGAAGAAAAGGGGGGGAGAAACAAGGAAATGACCCTGGACTGAAAGCAGACGGAGAGAAGGAGGGTGCAGAAGTGGACAGAGACGCGGGAGGGGCAGGCGCAGCTGGGGGGAAAGGAGAGAGACGAAAGAGGAGGGGCAAGAGATGGGCCTGGAGTGGGAGGGGGAGAGTCTGGAGAGCCCCGCCGGGTCGAGCGGGGTACCGCTTGCCACCACCCTGCCTTCGGCAGAGTGTGCTGTGAATGCCCTTTCCTGGTCGCTTGGATGTCCCCGGAGCCCTGGCCACCCACTCCTCCCTCCAGGGGCATCTGGCCGTAAACCATCCTCTGGACCCCCTCCCACGCGGGAGACCCCCGAGTCCCTCTTTTCTGCCCAGGCTGGAACTAAGAGTCACCCCCTGATGCAGCCAGGCCGAGGCAGACCACGCGTCTGAGAGACACCTGGCACCGCTCAGCCGCTTGCCCACCCCAGGCTCCCTCCTGCTCAACCTTGTCCCTCAAGCAGGTCCTGCGTCTCTCCTTGTCCCCCTCCAGAAGGCCGGGAGTGTGTCAACTGTGGAGCCACAGCCACCCCTCTCTGGCGGCGAGACGGCACCGGCCACTACCTGTGCAACGCCTGCGGCCTCTACCACAAGATGAATGGGCAGAACCGGCCGCTCATCAAGCCCAAGCGGAGGCTGGTAGGAGCCCGCCCAGGTGGCCGGGGAGGGGGCGCCGCTCGTACCCAGGGGTGCCAGGCTGGGCAGGAGCTGGCAATTCCTTAAGGGGGGAAGAAGCTTCAGATGCAGACGCTTCGCCACTCGAAGTTCTTTTGTCATTAAAAGCACTTGGATGGCAGTTGGGATCGCGTTTCTTTCCGGCCAGATTCTTTCAGGCCAGATTTCCTCCTGGGCAGCCTACCAGGTACCCTCGTGCCACCCGCTCTGGGATCCCCAAAGCTGAGTGTCCTAGGGCCCGACTCCTGTCCTCTGGCCTCTGTCTAGCTCTTTTTAAAAATAGGACCACGAAGTACTTTTCCCTGTGGCTCGCTCTGGGCGGCCCTCCCTGGCTCCCCACTCACAATCCCCTCGTGCTTATTTAAATAAAACATACACTCACACCAGCCACCAAAAAAACCTGCCCTTTATTATTTTTCCATGGAGTCACCTATACTGTGTATTTTCATTTGAGTGATTTAAAAAAAATGCCCTTTCGGATCTCCTGCCGGAGTTTCCTATCCGGACATCTGCAGCCTGAAGATAAGGAAACTTCGTGTATCTGTTTCCGGACTCTGTGAGTTTTTAGAGAGTCTCCTCGGCTCAGTCCTGCCTCTCGCTGGGCTGTTTTGAAATTTCTAATACCCTCCACTCTGCAAATAATGCGTAAAATGCTAAGAATAATAAATATATTTTTTCAGGGCGAAGTGATTTATGAGGCTTAAATCGTTGCCCCGCTTCGGGGGCCTTTTTTTCCCCTGGAGCGAGGGCGGGTGAGGGCCCTGATGGGGGTAGGGGTGGAGGATACGGTGTTGGCCCCTGAGTCAGAATTCCAGCTTCAGGCTGCTTACTCACCCTCATCCCTCCCCTCCCCCGCGGCTGCAGTCCCTCTGTCCCCTCGGTGACCAGGCTCGGGCCTGGGGCCATTCCAGACTCTGCTGGCCTCAGACCCCACCCCCCACTGGCTGCCTGGTGCTGGGCGGCCCTCGGTTCTCTGGGAAGCACTGGGGGAACTTGCTCTATAACTGTGGAGCTGGCCCTGGTAGGACCGGGAGAGGGGATCTGCTTTCTTGGGTAGAAATTCCTTCTAGCTCCTTTCTCCAGGGTCCAGGCGCTCATTGCCAGACCCCACCTCTGCCCGGCATTTCCTGAGTGACTGGGACTCACGGGGGCTGGGCCAGGGATTAGAACTCAGAGGTTTGGGGTACAGGGAGAGGGCTAGGTGGGCTGGCACTCAGACCAGCCGGGGGAGATGGAAATTGCCTGATCTGTATCGTCCACCGTGGTAGCCCCTGGCCACATGTGACTGTTGATCATTTGAAATGTGGCTAGTGCAATAGAAGGAACTGAATTTTTAATGCTATTAACTTGCAGCGCAATCTAAATGGCTACCCTGGGCCAGTGGCCACTGTATTGGACGATGCACTCTCTAAACCTGGCACCATCCATCCCCACCCCTTCCCTGCCCTGGCCTCAGGGACACTGAGTCGCCCAGGAGTATGGATTTTGAGGGAAGTGGTGTGGAGGGAGACAGAAGTGGCCCGTGCCCAGGCTTCGAGGAGACTGAGCTAGCGAGGCTTCAGGATGCCTGCGCAACTGAAGTTCTCTTCTCGGGCCTCGGTTTCCCTATTTACGGAATGAGATCACGCAGCAGTTGGGGAAGGAAGCTAATTCTCCCTTCTAGCTTTTGCAGTCCCGTTGATTCCAAGATCAGGCTTCAGAGAGTTCTTTATTCTGAAGGTCTGTGATTCTCCTCTCGTTTAGTTCTCAAATTCTGAAATTCCACGGTTCTGAGATGCCCCATTCCCCTCTGAGACTTAGAACTCCTTGTCTAAATTTGGGGGGGGGACAGAGGGTGGAGCCAGGTTGGGGAGGGAGGTCAAGGTGGGCGTGGGAGCGCAGCCTGCTGACGCTGGCCCTCCCCTCCCAGTCGGCAGCCAGGAGAGCGGGCACCTGTTGTGCCAATTGTCAGACGACAACCACCACCTTATGGCGCCGCAACGCCAACGGGGACCCTGTCTGCAACGCCTGTGGCCTCTACTACAAGCTGCACAATGTGAGTGCGCCCCGCCCCGGCCCGCCCCACCCGTCCCCAGGGACTTCTGCTCTTTGTGCTGCCCGGCCAGCGGCCCCAGCCACAATATCTAGCTTGGCTTGGCTTGGGAAGCCGCTGCCGCCTGGCCTGCGGGACAAGCCCTGAGCGCCAGAAGGGCTTCCCGTACGAGGGGGTGCCTCACCTCTGCTCAGGGGACTGGAGCTGGCTGGAGCAGGGCCCAGAGGGTCCTGGGAAGTGGAGTCTCCGTTTTTGAAAAAGTCAGGAGGCAGGAGGCGGGGTGGGAGGGAGAGGACTTCGCTTGGATGGGGGTGGGGTGGTGCTGGTATTCAGCGGGCAGGAGTCAGGGAAGCTGAGCGGCTGGCAGGGGGTGGATTGGACCCAGGCGCCAAAAACCACCCTTCCTGAAACGGTAGCAGTGCTGGTGAAGGGACTGTGGAGGCCAGGCATCCTCCTGGCTTCCCAGGGCCCCGAGGCCGAGGCCAGCCTCGCCTCTGCTCTGTGCTGAAGCGGTGGGGGAAGGGTCCTGCTGGGAGAAGGAAACTGACCTCCTAAAAGCTCCGTGGCCGCCTCCAGGTTAACAGGCCACTGACCATGAAGAAGGAGGGCATCCAGACTCGGAACCGGAAGATGTCCAACAAGTCCAAGAAGAATAAGAAAGGGGCGGAGTGCTTCGAGGAGCTATCCAAGTGCATGCAGGAGAAGTCGGCCCCCTTCAGTGCAGCCGCGCTGGCTGGACACATGGCGCCTGTGGGCCACCTCCCGCCCTTCAGCCACTCGGGACACATCCTGCCCACTCCAACACCCATCCACCCCTCCTCCAGCCTCTCCTTTGGTCACCCCCACCCATCCAGCATGGTGACCGCCATGGGCTAGGGACTGCCTCCTGCGGGACAGACGGACGGATGTCGAGGACTGGGAACTCCCAGGACGAGTGGACCAAACCCTTAGCTGCCCACCTCTCCCGAAGACTGATGCCACTCCTGCCAGAGCCCAACACCACCTCTCCTTTGAGGGTGCCACATCAGCCTGTTGGCAGTTACTGTGAATACTCTCAATGGGCCGAGAGGCTGCCTTCGCGCCCCGCTGCTACCCACGTGGGATTTCCTTCATGGACAATTGTCTGGAAAGCGAGGACGACAGTTCTGTGGAGAGGAACCAGTGGGGCAGAGGACAGACGTAGAAGGAAGGTGGAGTCGGCAAAAATTATTTATTTTGCTCTTGTTTCTAGCAAGGACTTGGAGACTTGGAGGTCTGAGCCGTCCCGAGTTCTCCTGGCAATATTGTGTGGCCAACTGCCGCTTGGCCTGTCTGCTTGCCAGGGCTCTGGTGGCAGATCTGCAGGGACCTCAGCCCGTCTCCCTTCTCCTCTGGCTTCCCTGTCTGAAACAGCTGAACTCCAGACTGGGCTGAGCCAAGGCCAGAGGGGCCACGACCAGGCCCGGGTGGGTGAGCCAGTGCCTGCCCTGCCTGCTTGGCCCTGGGAGCAGAGACAATCACGGGCGGTCCTGCGCAGATTCCCAGGCCAGGGCTGGGTCACAGGAAGGAAACAACATTTTCTTGAAAGGGGAAACGTGTCCCAGATCGCTCCCTTGGCTCTGAGCTGAAGCTAGTGTGACTGTGTCCCCTTACCGGGCCTAAGCCACAGCTTGTCCTCTCTGCCAGGTGAACCTCTGTAAATACATCCTTTTTCTGCTAATCCTTCAACTTCCCCCCCCCACTCTGAGACGAAAGAAAAAAATATTAAAAAAAAAGAACTGCATAAGCTTAACTCAATGATGAGTTAGTTGTTTTATTTTTAAACTCTTTTTGGGTCCAGTCAATTGTACGTTGCCACCGAAGCCCTGCTATGGAAAGGAGTGAAACCTACAAACCAGGGTGGGAACTTTGTAATTGTTTTTGGAAAAGTTCTTGGATCCCACAGCCCAAGAAGGAAAGCTGGGGGCAGGGGAGGGGCCTTTGCTGCTCTTGGAGTTCAGGGGCTGGTTGGCCTTGCTGGCCCGGCAGGTGGTAAAAGCTGGAGGTGGGGGTGGGTCCGCACCAGGGATGAGGGAAAGACCGTGTCCCTGCTGGGGTCCTGGGTTTGGCTTCGCTGTGGCTGTCTGGATCCTTCCCAAGGTACCGCTGTATATAAACGTGTCCCAAGCTTAGATTCTGTACGCGGTGATGGCGGGGTGTGGTGGCTGGCAAGGGGGCCCCCTCCCTGCGGCCCAGGAAGAGGATTGTGCTGATGTGGTCGACCAAGTGCAATACGGGCGGGCAATCGCTGCGGGGAGCACCACAGCCAGAAGTAACTTATTTTGTACTAGGATCCGCATAAGAAAAATAATCGGCAGTATTTTTTGTTTTTATGTTTTATTTGGCTTGTTTTATTTTGGATTAGTGAACTAAGTTATTGTTAATTATGTACAACATTTATATATGGTCTGTAAAAATTGTATGCTATCCCGCTATTCCTTTAAAGTGAATACTGTTAAGAATAATAAAATACTTTTGTGAATACCTGCGGCCTATCTTACGGGCTTCTGGGTCTGCTGAGTCCCGGTGCCAATCTGAGCAGTCAGGCGGCATCGCTCCTGCTGGCTGGGGCAGCTTGCAGGGGAAGGGCTCCCAGAACAGGAGATGGGGCCCTGCCGGGTGTGTCTGGTTTTGCCACTGACGTCCCGATGCTCCTCCCCAAACTGCTTCCATGTTGGATTTCCCCATTGTCACCTCCCTGGGGATCCTGGCGCTGGGTGGGCACTGGAGAGACATAGAGAAGCTGTGCTTTCTCTCCAGCCTTCGGTCCACACCCTCACCTTTTGCCTGAGGACTCAAAAAGGTGCCCCCTGGGGCTCTAGCAGAACCTTACACAGACTGACTTCACCCCCATTCATGCCCTCCCATGTGCTGATCAACTCTAGCTTCTGAGATATCTGGGCATCAGCATTCCTGTTCATTGGCAAACCTGGTCACCAACGTCTTTGGTCACTGATGTCATCGATTGCTGTCATCTTTGATCAATAATGTTGGTAATCGGTGATAGCCACCATGTCTGATATTCCTGATCACTGACACGTCTGCTCATGAGAGCCTGCCATCACAGACATCTGATGACTAACAACTGATCACCAACACTTAATCACAGATACTTCATCAATGCCTCTGGTCAACAATGTGTCTGACCACTGACGCCCATCAAATGTGATTGCCAGTGTCTCCAGTGACTGTCACTAACCAATAGCACACCTGATCATGAATGTCTCTTCTCACCAATGTTTCTGATTACCAGCGTGGTGATCACCAATGAGCCGTCAGTAATGGCCTAGGTCATCATTAAGTATGATCACCAATGTTATTGATCAGTTTTTTCTAGTGAGGGATTCTAGCTTTTTCTAGTGATAGATCATGTGATCTCCAGCATCTTCTATCACACAGTTTCTCAACACTGCTGCTTCTTTAACAATGTCCTTGGTCATTTGTCTCGATCGCCAATATGTCTAATCAGCAATGTGCCCGGTGACCTATGTCTCTGATAGAATCCTCTCACCGTCAAATTTATGTCCATCTGGTCACCAGTGATTCTGGTTACCAGCATCCCTGATGGCTCAACTCTGATTATCAAGATCTCTTATCAGCAATGTTTCTGATGCCTAACATCAGTGAGTGTGGAATCGTCTTAAAAGTCTCAACGACCAGTGTCCCTGCTTTCCAAAGTCCCTTGTACTTCTGATCACCAACTTCCCTGGTTACCAGTATCCCTGGTCATTGGTATCATCAGTCATCTGCGTCTCTCACCACATTTTCTAGTCATCGATACTTCTGCTCACCAGTGCCTTTGATCCCCAAGAGACCAAGATCTCTCTGGACCCCATGTCTCCAGTGATTCAATCTGATCATTGATGTCTCCTACATCTGTGATCACCAAGGACACAAGCACCAAGTGCTTCATCACTAATACTCTGGTCATCCATAGCCTGAGTCACCCATGCTCCTGATCAATGATTAATGATATATTTGATCAATAACTCTGATGGCCAAGACTTCTGAGCCCGGCCTCCTGACTGCACCTCTCTCTGATTATGTTGTATGACATCATCTCTTGCTGACTCCACCATCCCTAATTTCAAGTCGCTCTGATCATATGTCCCTGATCAGTGACTTCTCTTAACCTTAATTGTCATCATCTCTGGTCACCAGGGTCTCTATTGACTAGTATTTCTGATTGCCACCATCCTTGTCCCTTTTTTTTCTGAGTCAGAGTCTCACTCTGTCACCCAGGCTGGAGTGCAATGGCACGCTCACAGCCACCACAGCCTCCACCTGTTGGGTTCAGGTGATCCTTGTACCTCAGCCTTCAAAGTAGCTGGGACTAGCTGGGCTCGGTGGCTCAGCCTGTAATCCCACGCCTTTGGGAGGCTGAGGTGAGTGGATTGCCTGAGCCCGCGGGTTCGAGACCCGCCTGGGCAGCGAGACCTCATCTCTACAATAAATCAAAAAATCAGCCGGGCATGGTAGTGCATGCCTGTAATTCCGGCTACTTGGAAGGCTGAGGTACAAGGATCACCAGAGCCCAACAGGTCGAGGCTGCGGTGGCCGGGAGCGGCCACTGCACTCCAGTCTGGGCGACAGAGTGAGACTCCTACTCAAAAAAAAAAAAAGAAAAAAGTAGCTGGGACTATAGGTGCGTGTCGCCACATCTAGCTAGTTTATAAAATCTACTGTAGAGAGGAGGTCTTGTTAAGTTGCCCAGGTTAGGCTCAAACCCTTGGGCTCGGGCAATCCTCTCACCTCTGCTTCCCAAAGTGCTGAGGTTACAGGTGTGAGCCACTGTGCCTGGCCTGTCCGTGTCCCTTCACAGTCCTGGTGTCTATCTGACCGGGAGGTTTTCCCTTAATTCCTCCCATATCAGACTGCTGATGTTGGCAGCTCCCTCACTTAGAGTTGGGGAGGCCAAGGTCCCGTGAAGGCCAGCCCCTTGTCCCAGACGCCCCAGCCTGTCAGAGGAGACTCTGACTTCAGGACACCCTGCCCTGGTGTGCCGCCACTGTGACCCTCCCTCCATGTCCTTCCCTATAGAGTAGAAACCGAGCACAGACAGGACCCAGCCTGGGCTTGGCTGGGCAGGCACCGGGCCCTCCAGGCCTACTCAACAACTTTCCCTCCAGAGCATTCTGGCCCCCTCTCCCCCTCCCCACTGGAGCCACCGTGAGAACAGGGATGGCCCTCTCTCCCTGGATCATGATGGCAGGACTGCGTGTGTTCAAGGGTACACACGATGCGTGCCTGTCGAACGCCTCCTGCGGGCCATGCCTGTTGGGTGTGGGGCTACAGCAGTGAATAAAACAAGCAAGAACTCCCATCCTGAGGAGCTCACTTTCTAGGCATGAAGCATAGTATCGACTCCACCTGGCCTGGCAAACCATCCTATCTGTCTGGCCCAGAGCCGGCACCTGGACTCCATGGAGAGCTTAGAGTTGAGAACCAAAACAAGGAGTCCCAGCCCTTCGCCTCAGAACTCAAGAACCTAGAATCCCAAACACAGACCCCAGAGCTTGGACCCTCAAATTCAGAACCTAGACTGGGCTCAGTGGCTTATGCCTATAATCTTTAGCACTTTGAGAGACTTTGAGAGGCCAAGGCAGGAGAATCATTTGAGGCCAGGAGTTTGACACCAGCCTGGGCAACATAGTGAGACCCCATCTTTACAAAAAATTTAAAAATTAGCTAGATGTGGCAGAGAGTGCCTGTAGACCTAGTTACTCAGGAGGCTGAGGTGGGATGATCACTTGAACCAGGAGTTTGAGGTTATAGGGAGTTGTGATTGCACCACTGTACTCCACCAAGGTGACAGAAAGAGACCCTGTCACTAAAAAATAAAGAAAATAAATGAATAAATAAGTATCCAGAACCTAGAACTTGGGATTTAGAACCCAGAACTTCCCAAGAACTCTAAGACTGGGGCTCAGAGCCTAGATCTCAGAAGCCAGATCTGAGAACATGGAGCCCACAACCCGAGGCCCTGAATGTGGACTCCCAAATCTAGAACCCAGAGCTTTGGAGTTCAGAATCCATAACTTAGCACCAAGGACTTGGA